GTTTATAACATGATTATTGCTGACTGAAGGAATATTGAATACTTAAACTCAATATACGACAATCATATGCTGACTGTGACAGACTAAGGTATTTCTTCTATAGGATGTAAGACAATGCTAAATTTCAGGATGTCTTGCCCATTCCGATTTTAAGGATATTCTTTTCCAGACGTATGCAAAAGCTTATCTTTCCATTGTCAGAATAACGTAATACAAGGAAGTAATAAATCTTATAGTCTGTACTGTAATGAATGACATATACCATGGCTAATGTAAGCAAACTATGTATAAAAGCCAGCTCTGGAATACACTCATTTGAGAGTCTTGTAAAGCTGTTGTCCGTGTGTTATTGCTTACAAATGATTCTCCATCAACGTTGATTATGGTGACCGAGGGATCGAGAACCGAGGGGATTAGAGTCCATTACAACATTAACCCTTTCAGCTTGGTGTCAGAAGTGGGATAGATGAAGTGGATCAGCAAAACCATTTGCGGTGAGTAGCCTTTTTGTGTCTTATTTGACGCTGATTGTCTATGACCCCCCTTTGGTTCAGTAAGTCTGTATCCAGTAGATAGGAAAGGTGTAAGGACTCTAGTTATATTGAGACTATAAGAGGTCTCCGGTTTATTAGACATTTGGTCTAAATATATATAGGGGTTCTTGGTAACCCAGGTTAGTATCTAAGATAGATACAGGTTTTTGAGACCATAAGAGGTCTCCGGTTTATTATAGGGTTTTGGTAACCCAGGTTAGTATCTAAGATAGATACAGGGTATCTCAGGTAGATACAGGTTTTTGAGACCATAAGAGGTCTCCGGTTTATTAAGTCTATAGGTGTTCTGAGCAGCACGTAGATCTTTAAGTATAACCCAAACTTCTCTTTCTCCCGGTCACCTTTGTTTGTCTTAAGTGTTTTTTGTGGGTGATTGTTTGTCTATATTGGGGACACACTTTGGTAAGTTAGTAGTGTCCCCACTCTGAGTCAGCAGTATGGGAAATGTGAGTTCATGTCCTGAGTGACCAATATATGTACATGTATATGTGTATGTATGTATATATGTGTATATGTATGTATATATGTGTGTGTATATGTATATGTGTATATATAAGATAGCAGTACTTTTAAACAAATGGAGGTTTTAAAAATACATAGGGCTTAAGGAGAGAACGCAGGTAACTTGTTTTTCTTTGGTTTTTACCATATATTGGGGTTGATGTGTACTGTAGTCCTTGCTGCTGCCCAGTAGTGATGGGAGTGAGCGCAGGACTTATCTTTCTGCAAGATAGCAGTACTGTATATTAGAAAAGAAATGACTCACAGGTTGTACCTGATAGACCTACTTAAATCTTTTTGCTTTATTCTTTCTGTCGCATAGAAGTATAAGTTTATTACTCTGTTTTATTGTAAGTTATTTCACATGGGATCTGTGTGCCTGGTATGATTGTTGCTTTAAAAATACTATAAGCCCACTACACTTATTATGAGAGTGGGATAGTGTAAATGTGTTGCATTGTTTGCATGATGAGCTCAGTATATTTTATAACTGAGACAAAAAGTCACTTCATTAGTATTTGAAAGTTAATTCCCCATATGGGATTAATTGTATAGAAACACCAATCAGCACATCTTCCCTGCCCTGTGTGTTTGTTGCAAAGGATCCATACTGTAAATATGATTTTTGTTTGAAAATAAGAGAGCAACATTTACATTTTCAGCGGTCCAACACATGCTTTATTTTGCACTGTAAACTAACCTTTTATTGCAACAGGTTCCTTTTAAATGATCCAGTGTAATAACTACTGCTTGTGTCTTCTATGTCTCACATTATGTGTTATTTTAAATTGTGGTATATAGCCTGAATCAGACATCATGGACAAAAGGTTTTTACCTGTATTACAAAGGGCTCTTGGAGACTGACCGGTCTAAAGGTTTGCCATGCCTTTAAAACATGGTATAGTATAAATTTTTAAGTCTCTGAGAGTTCTGAAAGATTCAGGTGAAACCATGTCTGTTTAATCTGGTCCAGATGTTTGTTCAATTTCTATAGGATTTAAGTTGATGCAGCATCATCTCAGATTAGTTAATGGAAGTTTTAGACAAATAGTTGAGTTATGAGCGCGCTATATAAATGGATCCTTTCTTTAAATACAATACTATAGTAGATTAAAGTAATGAAGTTAATTAAGAAAATGTACACATAAGAATCCCTAAAATAAATCTAAACTAAAATTGGTATACTTTCCAATAATATGTTCTGAATACAGCTGTTAACTGTTTATTCTGTGTAAATGGTGATTGTGATAATGTGTGATAAGTGTGCAGTTTAACTTGAAAGTGGTTTAATTTATGTTGCTGTATTGTTTTAAATTATATGTGAATCAGTTTGTCACAGTCTAGTGATACTGATAAGAATGACAGCCAAATAACCTAGCAAATAACTGTTTTATTAGTTGTTGAATACTAGCGTTTTGGCCAAGAATAGTTGGAGATTTGGAGGTGTTAGTTTAAGATTGCTTTTATATTGTGTCTATCCGTGTTTCCTAGGAGGGAGACAGAGTGTGTAGTTGTGTGCCCATAAATGTGATTTCTGTATTGGCATATCTGCTGGGTACCCATTATGTGTTTCTACAAAGATATTGTTTTGTGAGATGACTAATATTACATGGGATGCTGAGTATAAGTTATATGGTTTGAAATGAATTGGTGATTATGAGTTTAGTACTTCAGTAAGATGTGCTAAAATTTGGAACAAGGTGGAAGCTAAAATGTTGGGATTATGGAAGAATAAGCAGTCTATATTCACTGCTTTGGCATATAAGCAAGATGCAAAGGAAGAGATTGGTAATATGATTTTTGTAAAGAAATTTTACAAGTGTTGGAAGGATGAGGCAGGTTTGATGTCTGGAGATGATATAGATATCTTTAAAATACAATCATGCCTTGGTAATATGTTGCCACAGTATTCTTTGCTTGTGAAACAATTGATTTCAGACTGGGACAATTTGGATAGCTCAGATTTTCTTACCAAGGTTATAGAAAAGGAAAATGCAGGTTGTTTTGAATTAAGAAAAGATTTAGGAAAGTAAGGTTGCTTATTATGCTCAGGGATTGCAACATATTATGTCCAGCTACACAGGCTGAGAGCGAGGATGGGATGGAGCACATAAAGCCCGTGGAAGGGGTGGTCAAAGAGGGGCAAGGTGATGGAGACAGGGAAATCAGGGTTATAGGGGCAGGGGTAACCAAGGAGGAATAGACAGGAACACTTGGTTCAACTGTGGACAATATGGCCACTGGAGGAATGAGTGTCCACACCCCAGGAAACCCCATCAAACCCCACACACCCCACCAACCCCACAATTCTCAAAATATGCCCTGTAGGCAAGAACAACACCAGATCCACTCCCAACACCACTGGCCAGCATATCGCTTAGTTCAGGACTTTAGAGCCCTGAATAGTTTAATTGTGCCCATTTCACCCATTGTCCCTGATGTGACATCCCTCATTACAGCCATTCCACATGATGCCACTTGCTTCACTGTCATTGATTTAAGTAATACATTTTTTCTATACCTATTGATCAAGAGACACAGCTACTTATGGTTTTTACTTTTTGAAGGCTGTCAGTTTACCTGGACACGCTTACCCAAGGCTATGTGGATTCCCCAGCTGTTTATTCGTTGGTACTCCAACATACTCTAAAAAACATGGACCACCGGTCATGGTTCTGTCCTTTTTGCAAAATGTTGATGATTTGTTGTTATGTAGCCCTAGCTATGAGGCAAGCACTGTGGATACTGTCAGCAACTATAGGTCACAAGGTTGTTAAACACAAAATGCAATTGTGTAAATCAAAGGTTGAATACTTAGGTTTTGTTCTGGCTTTAGGCACCAGACAATTGAGTCCAAAACGTATTGAGGTCATTCAGAGGATTCCAACACCCACTACTCGGAAGGAGTTGCTCACCTTCCTCGGCATGATTAATTACTGCCACCATGGATCCCTGAATGCTCCCATTATGACTCAATCCTAAGGGAGGCTGTACGTTCTGACAGCCCTGAAAATGTCTGCTGGTCACCAGACATGCTAGCTGCATATATTGCCCTTACAGTTGTTATTGTGCAAGCCCAGGCTTTAGGACTACCTGTGTATTGTAAACCATTTCATTTGTATGCTCGGGACAACTGTAAAACCATGGCCGCGGTCTGTGCACAAGAGCAAGGAGGCGGTATGCGTCCCATAGCATTCTTTTCCAAAGTAGTTCGAGCTCTGGTACAGGGTATGCCGGCGTGTCTCAGAGCATTGATAGCATGTGCAATGGCTGTTGAAACTGCTACTACTATCACACTAGGGCATCCTACAATACTTCATGCCAGTCACCAGGTCACTCAGCTGATAATAAATATCACCATACAACACATGACAGCCCAGCGCTTCAGTGGTTATGAGATTTTTTTTTTTAAATACCCAGAATCTGTCTTTTGGATTAAATAAGGTTTAGAGAAAGATCAGAATGATCTGTTCTCTAAAGAGGGGAGAATAGGCATACTTGAAGAATAGGCATACTTGAAGCAAGCTGCTTTATTTTCATCAGTCAGGCACATAGCAAGCACCATTCAATTCTTCATGAATTCATTTTATATTAGGAATCTCAGGCAGCATGTACAGTCTTTTGTAAGATCGTGTGAACGCTGCTCTTTTTACACACTTACAGATTGATTTTATTCATGTATCCAAAATTGGTAAGAAACAGCAATACTTACTGGTCATAGTTGATCAGTTTAGTAGATGGCATGAGGCCTTTGTGATATCTAGGGAAGATTCTAGTGAAGATTATTGTTACTGAAATTATTCCCCGGTATTGCTGCCCTCTGCAGATTGGCTCTGATAATGGCCCGGTTTTTGCCAGTAGGGTTGCCCAGGAACTTGCTAAATTCTTGCAAGTTACCTGGCAGTTTCATATACCCTATCATCCACAGAATACAGGGGTAGTTGAAAGGATGAATAGGACTATTAAGGAAAAGCCCAGAATTTACCCAGGAACATGGGTAAATTGGACAAGATATCTACCAGCTATTTTAGCTGAGATAAGAATGAATCCCCACAAGGTGAATTGTTGATAAAACTGAATGGTATGTATGACAATGTTTCTTCGCAGTTTTCCCTTACCTTCACAGGAACCTACTCATTCATACCAGCCCGGTGACAAGGTGTATATCCGTCAGCTGAACAGGACCAAGAAAGGAGGATACCCTTTTGGACCACCTGCTACTGTGATTGCTGTAACCAGAACCGCTGTCCTCACAGATTCCCACGACATCTGGATTCACGCATCCCGAGTGAAGCTGTGTCCAAAGAGGGGAACCAAGGAAGACAAGACCACTCCTCGCTCGGAAACAGAAGAATTTCTCCTCAGCGAAGCATCATGGCTTTTACACCATATCGTAGATTGAGAGGATCATACGTACCTGAGACCAAGATTATGTTGTGCGCTATGCTTTCTGGAGTTGTTATACTCCCTCTGATATTGTTCCTTGAATGCCATTATGAGTACAAGTCAATGGCAAGTTCTGGAAAAAGACTTTGACATGATGAACAATTCTTCAATACCCCCAGCCCAATTAGGCCTTAGCCCCTCATCTAGCATTCGTCACACACGCCCTCTCAAGAACCCTTCTCCACCACCTTTCTATCAGCATGTAATATGCAATCATTCATTCACTGAACGCATTTGGATGAATTGGACAAATAGTAACCCTTATAAGTACCAGTTACCCATATGAAATGTGTCTACAGCTAATGAAACCGATGCATTATGTTTGTTTAAAGGTTCACAGAAAATTGTTAGATCTTATAACGCAGAAATGTGCACAGTTAAGGTTGCATATCAATGTAAACAGACAGGCCTTATTACTTTTAATAATGATTATATAACTGGTATCATTAATTGGAGAAGGGGACAAATGTTAGTCATTATGAACAACACTACAATTGAGAACTATATACTACCTTATATTTTTACACCTTATTACTGTCCTTCATCCACTATCATAGAACCAAAAGTCAACAACGACACACACACACCTATTCCGTCCACATGTATTAATACAACTGCCTTCTTACAAGCTGTACATGTGTCATTAAAAATCACTACTCTTGTTGTAACATTATGTAACACAGCAAACAAAAGGCAGAAAAGGGAATGGTATGACACACTGTTAGGAGGTGCTGGAACCACTATGGGTATACTAAATAGTTATAGATATGGAGACCCTCAAGAATAAGTTAAACACAGCCAGCATGCATATAGGGACTGGTTTTCATGCTACTGCAAATTGGGCTCCAATTGTTATTAAATCACAGGTTATAGGATTGGATTTAGATAAATCAATGTATAATTATTT